CTGAACAACCAATCACCGTACTGACCGCTTCTAAACTCATGCACGAGAATCGACGTCATCCATAGCAACGGCGCGTCACTCTTAGTTCACTCTTAGTGATTTATCCTTAGTATGAGTAGGTCTCAGCGGCTTTGTGAATAACTTTTAAGAAAAAACTCCTACGTAAAATGTTTTAGCGCGAGTTAGGAGCACTCCTAGCGGTAAGATAAAATGCTTTGTGAATACGGCCCCTGATGTCTCGTATTCTCTGACCAGAAAAACGGGACTGAATTTGTTTTTGGTTGAAATCCGGTCTTTGGTATTTGTATGATCAGACCTGAGATCTGTCAGTAAACACTGTTGAGTGTGTTTCTCACATCTCTATTCCCCAGAGAGCTCCATCAGCGAGGGTCTGCGTCTGTCCTCGGCCTCCACCAACATCCGGGTGTCTCAGGAGGACTTCAGTCTGCGTCTGGATGAAGAGCGCTCTGCGTCCGTGAGGAAGGGAGACGTGATCGCCCTCTACCCCCAGAGCATGCACATGGACCCCGACATCTACCAGGACCCCCAGGTACCCCCCGCTCAGAGTTAACCACGCCCACTTCACATTAAAGGTCTCCTATTATGCTATGTTTAGGCACATATGATATAAAAACACATGTCTCAGAAACAGGTTGAGCACCAGGTGGGTTGACGTACGAGGCATTGGACTTGATGTCGTGGTGCAGACATAAAAGCAAAACAAGAATTTAAAAACACAGATAGAAAACTATTTTAAGAAAACTATAATAACATTAAAAAATAAACAAGAAAAGATATTAGCAGCATTTCCTTTGAAATAGAACGGATTAAAATATCAAATCTGTGCAGTAAAAAAACCTCTGAAGTGTTTTGCTCAAAATACCCCGAGATCTACCAAGACCCCCAGGTACCCCCGTTTATATATTTTGTATTATTTCAAATATTTTGTATGTTATTTTGTTTGTATGCACCATGACACCAAGTCAAGCTACCTGGTGATAAACCTGTTTCTTCTTCCTCTTCCTCTTCTTCCAGTCGTTCCGCTACGACCGCTTCGTCCAGGACGGCCGAGTGAAGACGGACTTCTATAAGAGCGGGCAGAAGCTGAAGTTCTTCCTGATGCCCTTCGGCTCCGGCGCCTCCATGTGTCCCGGACGATACTTCGCCGTCAACGAGATCAAGCAGTTCCTGAGTCTGGTGCTGCTGTACCTGGACCTGGACCTGCAGCCGGGTCAGAACCGGGTCTCTCTGGACTACAGCCGGGCCGGGCTGGGCATCCTGCTGCCGGACGCAGACGTACGCTTCCACTACCGGCTGAGAGCCGCCAGCCAGAGCCCGGCCGAGTAGCTTCCACCTTCATAACCTCTCGCCTTAAAGCTCTCCTATCGTGCTGTTTTGAGGCATACAGTATATTATGGGTCTCAGATATATACAAATATTTTTTTAAAACATGTCTATGAAGTGTTTTGCTCCAAATACCAAACAGAAACCCATTCTAGCTTCAAAGCCCTCTATTTCTAGTTAGCGCTACTTGCTAATGTAAACACAGACCATAGTACTTCTAAAACACGTCAAACCCAGTTTGGATTGAACCACGCCCACTTCACATTAAAGGTCTCCTATCATGCTGTTTGTAGGCATACATTGTGGGTATCAGATATCTGAAGTGTCCTGCTCCAAACCCCAAACAGATACTTCTATACCCCCCCCCCCCTCTCTTCCAGCTGTTACTAAAGAGATGACTCTGGGTCTGTAGCTTTAATAACAAATAAAGAAAGAGAGAGTAGATCTCGTTCAGATTCAGGGCTTTAGAGGAGCTGCTACTGGCTACAGAACATGACATTGAGTTATACACATGTGGTGCAGGCAAGCACACAGAACACACATTGTGTCACCCTCTAAACCAGTGGTTCTCAACTGGTGGGTCGCGGTCCCGTTTATTTTGAAGGCCCGATGTTCTAACGCTGTGCATGCAGTAGGCGTTGGACTGGAAGTACCGGAGACCATAAACGGTTTTGAAAACTTCTGTCACGTAGTGATC